GCGGTTTCATAGTGTCAAGCAACATCTGATCGAAATTTCCCTCGAAACCTAGAAGATAGCTTCTTGCCGCAAATTCGAAGCATCGTGGGAAATATCCAGCGGAATCCCAGTCAAGAAAGCAAATTGATCCGTCATTCTTCCAGAGAATGTTGCGTGGAGCAATGTCGAGATGACAGAGCACCAACTCCGACCCCTCTAAGGTGATCTTGGATGGAATGTTGTGAGAGAATATTCGCTTGTTCAGGAAATCCTCCAGTTCCTGAAGATTATTCGGGATTAACTCGAAATTATCGCGAAAGAGAATGCTCCCGCATGGACCGCGACTGAGGGTCCCTGGAGTTTCTCCTTTTATAGAAGATAGGTGAGCAACTACATCTGCGACTCTTTGAACCAATTTGGGATCGTCGATAGGGTCAATTTTTGTCCCACGAACGTACTCCATCAGAATGTAGCCATAAGGACCAAAGAGGGGATCGCTCTTGTCTTCATCATCCTCGAAATAGCGATAAGCGTCGGGAATATAAACGATATTCGGGTCGACCAGAGATTTCGCTATCTTCAAATTTTCGAATTCGAATCTTTTGACCCAAAACCCGAACTTAATAACGGCATCGTCTCCGATCCGGACGACCTTTCGTCCCAGATTCTCTGTTCCCCCAACGAACTCAGCATCGGGGCCCAAACAATGCGCAATTAACTCGCTGTCAGGAAGGCCCTTGTGGATTTTTGGAGTTGCCATGGGGGTTGGAGTGGCGGAGGATGTGGACGAGGGCGGATTTTTGAGATGAAACGAGATGGAGTGTTTTGTTTTGCGTCTGTTTACGAGAGAAGAACGCGGGAGGAAAGAAAAAAAGAGTACAGAGGATAGGATCCGGAATTTTCTGTAGGGTTTCAAATGCGAGAGAAACAATGAATGCAACGAGCAAAACGCCTATCGAGGGAGGAGAGCACCGCTAATAGCTTTGCGGGCTGCGAAACACATCTCTCAGTTACGCACCGAGGAAAAGTGATGTGCGACCAGATTTGTTAAGTGTACACAATCCATGAGGGATGCAGTCCTGCCCGAGCCCCAGCCCACACTCATCTGCAAGGCGGTTGTGATGTGACAAACCCGTTCATGCAGTTGCCAATGCTGCCTTGCTGTGGTCGCTTATTTTAGCGCCCAAGAACCCTTTTCGTTTTAGCCTTGGCTTGGGACTCCACTCCTCACGACATGCATGAACTTCGGATGAACCACAAACCAACAAACAGCAACAAAGCGTCGCGCTCACTTCAATCATTTTCGGCTGTGCCGCTTAACTTCTATATATTCCCAGCCAATATATCTATTGGAAACCCATATCTTGCCTCCAGACTGCAATCTCGCGCGCATCAATACACCGCCCAATTGGGTTACTACGTATCTATTCTCTCAAGCCAACAGCTTGCCATGAAACCCGTTTGATGGGCTATGGATCATAGTAAAGGACCCCCCCATCCATTCAGGGAAATTTTACTACGTTGCAAGCTCACATCCTTGATTCCAACTAATGTCTCCTTCTATTTTTAACTGGGCGGCAAGGGGATACCTGAGGTATCAGTTCATCCAACCATGCCTGGTCAAAACCTGTGTGCTGAGAAGTAACGATGAGGATTGCCTTGATGGAAGCGATACGCCCTGGATCCGCATAATAATACATTTCGACACATCTGTCTAGTAGAAGATACTCGCAAGGCTCTATAGGCTCTGCTGGTAGTTGTATCCCGCTGTGCATATGGCTTTTTCACTGGTTGCCATGACCCGACCCTTGTTTTCGCTTTGAAGAGTGCCCTATATAAAGCTCTTGCAATGCCACGATTCTCAAGTTCATCCATGATACAAAAACCTTCCTCTCAGAACAAGAACCATATTTGTTCCCTCTGCTCTTGAGTTCGATACCCACCGCATTTTCTGACTATTTCTAGTCTTCTTGTCACATATCCTTATCGTTTCTACGCCAACATGGCTCCCTCAAACTATCAAACCCTTCTCAACGACCATAGGCCCATCCAGTTTCTACGGGTTGTTGCCCAAACAACGGGGAACACTGGGAAAAACACGAGCGAGAACCACTGGTCCATATTTGCGGTGACTTCATCCACGGCGTCCGTTCGGGCCAACATGAACACGCCCGTGTACGGGGACGTCACCGGGAGACTGGACTGGGAAACGCACAATTACATTTTGACCAATTCCGCACTTGATCATTGGGACTACCAGGCCGCCCAGGGTTTTAAAATCTCCGACTTGGTAGCCGTCGTTCACGAGCATGGGCGGGACCAATACGACTTCTCAGGCGGCGGCTCCGGCTGCAGATGGTGGTGGTAAGTCCCTGCTCTGACAGGCCCGCCGAGTGCAATACGATATGATCTTTCTGACCTTCTTTCCTACTTACAGTTACACCGTCATGTGCGACCTCGCGCAATGGGGTTACGTCCATGGCCAGGTTCCCCAATCGCTCTACCCTCATATGGAATTTCAATATCACAAAACCCTCCCCAAAAAGCCACTCCAAAATTTCCCTCGCGGGGAATTTTACCCAAGGGAGATCCCGCAACCAGTCGTTTATCAGTCCACTAGTAATAAGTTACCTGCCGGGAACTACATCAAGGTCACGGTCAGGGGCAAAAGTGCTTGGACCCGGTTGGAAGCTTGGACTAGTTACTATGACCACAACAACCGGCAATGTATTAGCCATGGAACCTACAACCAGTTCTATTATTTCACGGCGCCATACCAAACCACGCCGTACTGAATCGACCGATGGAAAGGGGGTGGTGGCTGCGGCCAGAGACGGAAGATGTATGAGATATAGAGAAACTTTCGCAGCTGCACAAGGCGTTTTGATTGGTTTTAGTGCATCCATGTTTAGGGTTGTGAGCAAAAGCGGTTTCTAGATTCTATTAGCCCCTTGGTGGTTGGAACTGTCGAGTCGGGGTCTATTAGCATTAAGGGTTAATTTTAATCGAAGGAAATGTGCAGGCAGTATTGGTTTCTTCATTGGTGCTTGGATGCTCTGGTCGTGTTATCAAGATTGTATTTCCTTCGTTCATTTTAGTTCCAATGGTTTTTCACTTTGCTTCCTTCACCTTGCGGGGGCGCTTGATGACTGCACTCAACAGCTTGAACTTACCCGTACCCATAGTATGTACAGAGAAGGTCATGCATGGCATGACATCTCCACACGATCCAGTAGACAACACTCCATATTCGGATCCTAACTCACCTTGCGGCTTCCAAGATATTCCCTCCTTTCAGGACGATATCGCCAGAGATAACCCATCGTCACCCAGTACAACTGGCTCAGATGATAGCTGGGAAGAGTTCTTTAAACTTCCAACTGTATTTAGATTTCAAATCTGGATAGCAAGAAAGGGATCCTTTATACCAGTTCCCACCAAGTAGATCTATATCCCCTTTTACAGCAAGGAGATGCCTCGCCATATCCTCTTGTGTAAAGAGAATGCTCTTCGTATATATTTCTATATTAATTATTGCATGTGGCTACAAGTCATCTAAACTGCATTCACGCGTGAATAGTGTTAAAAGAACTTTTCTCTACATGTATCAAAATGTCTATTGTGGTTCATGCTTTGGATGCAAGTCGTGACCAGTGTACAGCCTTGTTCGACTTATAATGTAGCAAAGCAGGCTGACTTTACGCAGAAAATAACACAGGGTAGGCTGATTTATCTGAAGCTTTGCCTTTGTGCCTTCACGGATGTGCTTTTTCACTACATCCTCGTGAATCAGACAACCAGAGCATCTGAGATGACTGACTTCAAACTTCGTCCGCTTGTTAAATATATCTATTTGCTATTGCCTTTGCTCTCCATATTACCAGCCGGAGAATTCGTGAGAGCATGGCCCCTGCCAAAAGACATTGAAGCAGCTGGACCGCCTCACACTCGGCTATTCCTGGACGGCGAAGCAATTGTCTTTCAACGTCGCACCAACACGAGTACCGCTGAGATAACTCTTCCACTTCATCACTGGCAATTGGCCAAGGGACCAAGGGATATCGAACACTTCTGTCAGAAATACAACCTCACTCTTGTCTCATCCGAGCCCCAAGAAGCTGCTCTAATGCCCAGCTGGCCACAGGCGTTTGCTCAGTACATCTTCATCGCTCCACCCATGAGCTTCCACTTTTCTAAATCGCACACCCAGAATGGAAATATCATCTATAAATCCCCCAGCTTCGGGACGACTCTCATGAAGTTCGCCTCCCCATTCCTCTTTGCTGGTTGGACAGTCTCCTTCGGAATCACGCAAGCCTCCAAGGAGACTGCTGGTTGGCTCTCCGTCCTCGGTTTGTCATCCTGGGGTTGTCTCATGTTCGATGGCTTTGGCCGCTTCGCTGTCCTGCCTCTACTCTTCCAGTTTACGGCTTCGCTTACGATTATAATCCAGCGCTGGCGCGGCGCAGTTGGCGCCGTCGCCTATCGTATCATGGACCTCCATGGCTGCGTGCCGCACGCTGGTCTCGTCTATCTCCAGCAAGGTGCGCGTTCCCACACGTACAAGATCTTCCAGAGCGTATCATTCAAGTGTGCGGCCTTCTTTATCGTGGCATGTGGCGAAAACACGGGGGCGCTAAACGGCTGGTTGGCGGCGATTACGCTGGCGGAGTTAAGTTTTAATATCGTGGTCGCGACACGCGGAACGGCCATGGTGGTGTCGGGCGATTGCTTGTTGGTCGAGTTGAGTCCGAGACTGGGGTTCCTCGATTCAGATGCAAGTACGCCATGGAAGATACTCACTTCATTTATGGGGTTTTGAGCTACTATCTGCTCCCGTAGTGCCTTTTAACATTATATTTAACCATATCATAAACGGGTCCACCATTGCATACATAGTCAACTAGGGTGCCTTTCAAGCTTCTTGCCCAAGGATTTCTATGAGACTGAGAAAAGCCACTGGAACAAGGGGATTTCCTTGCCACGCTCATGAAGAAAATACGCTATTATACTTCTTCAAGGGCAAGATGGCCGAGCGGTCTAAGGCGATGCTTTCAAGTTTTTCTTGACAATGTAAACATTGTTTGAAACAGCATTAACGAAAGTTGCATGGGTTCGAATCCCATTCTTGTCACTATTTATTTATTTTTTTTTACCGAGGCATCTTGTCGATTGAGAGAAAGAGCTTGATAATAAACACTGTAGCATTTTGGATAGGAATTCATTCTACCACAATAATTTCTCCCGAACCCAACTTCAGTGGTGGTGAACCATGTGTGGCGACATGTCAACCAGTCCCGCCAACATGTTGCCATCGAACACTTCTGGAATGTTTTTCGGCTCGATAGAATGCAGTTTTCCTGGAACAAAGACTACGGGATCGTCTTCTTCCCGCACTGACTTCCTCAACAACTCAACGGTATCGGGCAGCAATCCTTGTCTCGTTTCCACATCTATGGCCATATGAAATGAATCTTGTGCGCACTGAAGAATGACTGCCCCTTCAAAGAATCGGGGGATCCCATCTCGAGCCACATTATCTTCATCAATGGTCCACACTGCCCGGTTTTCCGCTCGTGGATGCTGTCTCCGTTTAGTTGTCGTCACAATGCCGTTTATTTCCGCGTATCGCCTTCGATCGGAGGAGGTTGTTTGTGTGCTCTGCATGCTCGGTAGCCTGGATCGGGTTCCCAGGTTGAGATTAACGCCGAGTTCATTGGTAACGGTGCGCACATTCTCCCGTGAATCTGTTGCATGAAGAGGGAACATCTTCAAAACACGCGGGGCCTTTGTAAGATCATCCGGTGTGGTTGCGTGGGTGAATGACAATCGGATGATAGCTGATTTGATGCGGTTGCTCCCAGAGGCATTGGGGTGGAAAAAGTGCGACCGAAAGACGAGCAAAGCAGCGGACTCCGATTGGACTGTGCCGTAGCGGACATGTTGCAAAGTGGTTTTGACGTGGACTTTGGCACTCAGCTCGGTGTGTTGGACGAGTTCGCGGTTTATCTCGCCTGCTTTGTTGTGGATTGCGAGCTCCTCCGCATCCTCACATATCTGGAGATCGAGGGTGATATGCTCCAGCGGAGGACACATCTGGGCTGCAGACCCTTGCTCATTCTTAGGGCTAGTTTCCATGAGTGCGCTTGTACGGGGCCTTCTTGTGCTTTGCTTCTATGATTTCGAGAGACGTCAATGATGATAAATAATACCCTTTGTGGTCACGTCTGGCGGTGCAAGACGAGGCTGGCGGAGATGAAGGGTCAACTTGAATCGGAAGCCTACACCAGCCATATTCCCATTGGACGCTTGGGTCCCTCGGCGCCTTCCCCCAAACTCTGCAGGTTTGAAAGGCGTCCAGAAACAATTGATTCCTTGCTTGGGTCCTCTGGCGCCTCCCCCAAATTCTAGAGGTTTAAAAACCGTCCAGAAACAATTGATTCCATCGAGCCTTTCTACAAGCACCCGACGAGGAATTCCATGAACCGTGAACAGGCTTGACTTTACCTCGCTATCATGATGGAGAAGGAAACAATTTCCCTTCTAGTTCACAGCGCTCGAAACGCTACCGCCTTGGGCCGTTATAACGATGCCACCGCAATCCTCGCTGACGCACTGGCCCAGTCCCCGACAGCATGGGAAATCAGACCTGAACTTGCGTTCAATTATATCCACCAGGGATATCTAAACAGTGCGATTTCTGCATTGGATTACTTTATTCGTGGCGCTGTCCCTTATCCTGAAAAGGTCCGTGAGAGAGATCTGGTTGTATTTCTGTACACCTGTTTGAACGTCCGCCGTACGGGCGTCTTCCCTCCAGCTTGGGAGCCATGTTGCAAGAGAATATGGGAAGGTCATTTGGGCATCCTTACCCCAGGAGAAGACGTATACTCTGAAACAGATGTAAGGATTCCAAAATTCCTTATGTTCTCGCAAGTATGGATAGAAGCTAATACTACTTGACCCGTTAGGTGAAATTGGAAATACTGTGGCACGAGGCCATTTATTTCGCGAGAGACAGAAACGGGCCTTGTGCGGGATTCGACATTCATAACCCAACAACAAAATATCGTCTGAACAAGCTTCACCATCACTTATCAGCTGTTGAACCTTGGCATAAGCAGGCATTGCACGTAGCCCGGCTCCTCAAAAAGATATGGCCTGAGGATCCTCTAGTTAGGACCGACGACGAGTTCTGTGACGGTTACTCACTCGATGGAATTGCTACGCTCCTTTTATTAGATGGTGCATTTGATGACGCGGAAAAATTATATTCGGACACAGAACATAGGCATGGTCAGCTGGATGTACACGCCTGTCGTCTTCAACTCCGCTTGAGTACTGCATCACCTCAAGATATGGACAGCCTAGTTTCATTAGCTCATGAGCTCGTTTTCTGGTACGACGATATCGACTACGCCCAAGGATCACTGTTCGTCTTGCGCAAGATAGTGAACTGGCAGGATAAACATGGCCTTGCATACGATCAACGCTTGATTGAGAGACTTGATCATTTGGAGGCCGCCACTGGGGAGATTCCGCTTCTAAAACTGCCTCACTATGCCTGCCTTTCTATATCCTCTTCCCTTGGGCCATTGCTCTCCAACCTTGTTCCTGCATTCGAGGATTATCAAACCAAAGGTGACGTTTCCGCGGAAAAGACCGCTGGAGAACTCGGCAAAGCATCCCAGTCACATCACCATCCGACTGCGTTACAGCCGTCCGAGGGATCTTTGGGTGGATTCCGGTCTACGATTCGAAAGACCTTGGACTCTTCGCTTTCGAAAGCAAGTGCCTTCTTGAAAACTCAGCTTTCCATACCAGAAATTGATGAGAATGATTCCAGGCCGCTTACCGATTGGGAGCTTTTCAAGCTGGCTCTGAAGACAGATATTGAAGGTTGGCGTACCTGGCGCCATCCCTCTGCAGAATTCCTGTCCGACCTCGAAGTCCTCAATAGACGGATGCCCCCAATTATCAAAGATCACGCACCTGAGAAGGCCAGATTGCTAAATATGCGTGTTAATATCCATAAGCTGGATGGACTTCGGCAGTCTACCGGCTCCCACTCTCAAACGATCCAACAAGCTGAGGCCATCCTCCAAGGCTTTTCACCTTCAACGGCTAGATCCCCGCAGGAATGGGTGTATTTCTTGGTGGCTCGATTCAAACTCGCGAGGGCACACCACGCAACGAGAAATATTGATCAAGCGATTAAAATTTGCAAAGATACCATGGGTATGAAGCCACATGCTCCGAGCTCACTTCGGCTCGCGGGTGTTTTCAAAGCGATGGAATCATTTCAGAGGATCCTTGAAGGAGAAATTGAGATTGACAAGAAATTTGAAGCCGCCAGGAATGGTCGCGCAAGAGAGGGGTATGTCCGGCCCTATTTAATCTGCTTTTGTTGGTGGACGTGCTATTAATATGTGAGATATATAGTCAAGAAGGCCTAGCTTCCCTTGGTCACGCCCAATTCGCTGGCCCTCCTAACCCAGAAGCGTGTTCAACTCTGAGTTCCGACCCTGAATCAACTATTCGTTATTTAAAAAACGGTTTGGGGGGCCTTGATGGTGTTATCCAAACAGAAACTGAAGGTTTAGCGGCGGTAGACTCCTTACAGAAACCTGAAGTCGCAAACGCTTTAGATACACTGAAGGGGACCCTCACGAACTTTCTGGGCGAACCCCCGAAGGCACCAGCTGATGTCAATGGAATCAAAATACCAACCGTCGTCAAAGAGCTTCCAGGGGAGTTACAGCGGTATTGTGAATTTTTTCGTTGGGCTGGCAAAATACCTGGAACGGCATTGGGCATGGCGGGACGCTTGGTAGGACTTGACTTGAGGCTGATGCGTGACTATTCGACCGCTATCAGCGGATCTACTGGATCAGTGACCCCCGAGTGGCAAATGGAAGCTTTGCGGTCATGTGCTGCAAGATTCCAAGTGCTGCAAAAAGAGAACCCAAGCCAATCTGTCGAGTTGGTGGATTTTGCCATTCTAGGCTATGTCTTACTCGCGCTTGGGGAGTTCTTCCCCAATGAGGCAATACGGCTCTACACCTGTAGCGACTCTACGGCTAGAACGCCAGCTAAAAGCCGGGAAAACTTCAAAGCCGCTATTGACCTTCTGGAATGGAGCGCCGGCAAAGGGATTAATGCGGGCGCTCTCTGGCGTGGTAAATTCCATGCAACTCTGTTCAACTTTATTGCGAGGACCTACCAAATCGAAGGCGGCAAAAAATTGGATCTCTATTTACTTCAGCGCGGACTAAGTTATCTCGAGGACGCAGCGGCAGTTACCATTAGAGCGCGGAGGCATCAAGAACCCACCTATACAAATCTATATAGGCTGCTTGAAGGAAGACAACGTTTCGCTGGCGACTATGGTATCGTAACGTTGTATGCTCACGGAATCGATACATACATCATGGCGTTTGGAATTGCAAGAGATGAGCTAGAGAAAAGTGAACTCATAGCCTCCTGCTGGAAATGGATTCAGCGACACAAAGCTGCCAGCCTTTCAGACCTGCTATCTCTGGACTACAAAGTTCTCCCATCGAATCTCGGAATGCTCAAGAACTACCCAGCTCAAGAGAAATTGCTTCAAGAAGAATGCCAAATCCGGAACCAGCTTTCCCGGGATGACCTCGCTATAGACACATGCATCAGGCTTCACAAAGATTTAAACGCTCTCGAAAAAAGCATGAACGATCATCCACTACTGAGGGAGATAGTGAGGGATCGGGATTGTGATGGTATGGGTCTTGATGACCTGGTTTCACTGGTCATTCGCGCGGGTCTTTTTGATGACGATGTTGCATTCATTGACTGGGTCATAAGCCCAGACACGGGTCACATTGTGATGTTCTGCGCGACCTGCGTAATGGGACAGTGCAATGTAAGGCTTGAGCAGATCGCGGAGTGCACTATTTCTGAGGTCTCCGAATGGATCGATCAAACTCTTGATCATCGAGTCATGTCCAATGCTGATATTGCGCACAACAAGCTCCAAAAACTTACTCCTCTTGTGCAGCCAATTACTAGACTGACCAAGCCGGGGACTCTACTTGTTCTTTGCCCTACCATGAAGCTCCACCTTGTTCCCCTGCATGCTTTGATGGTTGATGATGA